ATCATCAAAATCAACAAGCTTCATGTCCATCAAGTTCAACATCAAGTCCTTGAATGTTCAACAGACTTTCACAAGCTAGGTCATCTGCTGGATCTTGTGTTGGTGAACCTGAGTCCACTCCTGCTGATACTGCACATGATGAAGTTATAAGGTCCCGTTGTTGGGTGGACACAGTTGGAGGTAAGAATAAAGGAAGATTGTATGGAGCTGGACAACTTGCTGATGGCTATCAGAGTGGTTTAGATTGCTTGAAGCATCAAACTCAAGCATCCAGCTCCTCAGTTGACTTAGAAGAGATTAATCAATTGAGACAACGATTGTCTGTACAAGAAGAAGAAATACGTCGAACAAGGGAGCAGAATGAACGACTAGAGCACCAATTCAGAGAGTTTCAATCCCTTGTCGGTCATCTTCTACCCCTCAGTGCACAATCTCTTGTTCAACAGCGTCAACATAGTGAAGCAGATGATGAACAACAACCCCAACAACAACAATTGAATGAAGAGCAACAAGATAACCCACCACAGGACGACAACATACCAGAACATCATTCTTCTGATTATTCTCATTATTAAATGTTATACAAACATCTATAGAATAATATTTCAATTCTACTTGTATGTTGATACTCTTTTTAGGATTATACATTATGTTTCATTATGCATAAATTACAGTACATTTGAATTTACTTATGATTAAGGGGAGTTAGATTTATGTTTAATTGAATTGTTGAATATATTATTGAATTGGACTGGATTGAATCTTATTTTACAGGTTATATGGGATGAAAAAAATAATAACCTGCTCTGGAACTAGAGGTGGTTTTATCGACGGATTTACCGACGGATAATCCGTCAGTAAGATTTGTGCATAATTGGTAATTACCGACGAAAATATTCGTCGGTAAGTATCTATGACATTTATCGACGGATATTTCCGTCGGTAAGTATCTATGACATTTACCGAAGGATAATCCGTTGGTAATGTAATGGGTATTTACCGACGGAAAAATCCGTCGGTAATTACTCATGATATTTACCAATGGACTAGCAAAATCCGTCGGTAAATTTTACCGACAACACTATTATCGACGGATTTAGGACTGTCGATAATCCGTCGGTAATATATATTTACCAACGGAATTTGTTACTTACCGACGAATTATGTCTGTCGGAAATTTTGATTTTTCTTGTAGTGTATAAAAATATAATATAAATATGAAAAATTATTATATTTATTATTCTTTCCTAAAGTTTTATTATTAATTATTTAATGAATTATTTAAATTAAAGAAAAAACCAAAATTTCTCTCTCAACCTTCCAATATTCCCTTAGTCTATCCCAAAATTAAAGTCCACTCAAAATTTTGTGTTTCTCTCTGATGTAGAAAACCTCTTATCTTCCTTTGTCTAGTCTCATCTCAAAATTATTATTTTTATGCTACAAAACCTTTTTATCTTCCAAATTTCACACTTTCGTCAACGGTCTTCCATTTCTGTTGGTGTCTCTAATCGAAACTACCATGATGATGGGGTTGGAGAATGTCAAAGACTAGAAGCGGTTTAAGGAGTCAGGGATATCATATGCAACGTAAAGGAGAGACCACAAAGTTCTCGTGGGGAAGGTCTAGAGACTCTAAAGAGAAATTCATTTTCGAGAGGTTAGTTTTGGAGAAAGTCTTGCATATTTTCATTGATATTGATTTCAGATACATTTCTAAGGTATCTATGAACCCATCATATACATTACATTGTCATTGATTTTTAAATGACACTATCTTGATATCTGGGTCACATGTTGGTTTTTTGTTTTTTTATTTGTCTTTTGAATATCTTAATAATATATTTTATTCAAGTTTAGTTGGCTTTCTTGGTAATATTCAAGAATGTCTTTTATGAGAGTTTTGATTTTTCTTATGGTTTTGAACTTGGTTGGAGTTTATTGTTCTTTGATGTGCTTTGTGAACATGAATTATTTGTTGTTGGATTGGATGACCATTGGCAATAATCTTTATGCATAGAGAATAATTAAAATCGTCATTATTAAATTTTGGTGGTAATTATTCCCAAGTTTCATATAACATATTAATTGTAATAATTAATTATAGAAGGTGAACTTTAATTTTTCATTCCACATAATTTTTGGCCAAAATTATAGCTTTGGTTTTGTTTTTGTGTAAATCACAACACATGGTAGAAACAATATTACGGTAGTAGAAACACCTACTCAAATATAAAATATTTATAAATCAATAAAATAAATTGTTATTTATCAATATTTTATTAATATTTTCAAATATAAAACTTAAATAAATAAATTGTAAAGATAAAATTAGCTAAAATAAAAATTTGAAGTAGTTTCTATAATTTGATTAAGATATGTACTTATTTGTTGTAAGTTGTTAGCATTTAAAATTATGATGTATTTATATTATTTTTATAATAATTATCATATATCATGTATTGATATCTTGGACTTAATAAGGGTTGGTTTTAAGATTTATTTTTTAAATTTTAATTTGACATTTTTTTTAGTTAAATAAAGTGTATGGAAATATTGTAGATAATTGGACAAAAAATTTACTCACACACAAATAAGAAAGACAAAGAAGAAAGGAAAAGTTGTCTTTAAAATTGTATCTTTGTCAATAAACTTTCTTTTACATTTGAGTGATCTTTCAACTATTTTGGAACAATGAGATAATATTATGATGTATGAATTTAGTAAGAAAAGTACATGATGTATTAATCAAATTTTAACTTTAATAGTTTATTTACTAAAATATATTAAATGTTAGAATTATACTTTCTAACCATTGTTATTTGTGAATTATGATTAATTTGAATTAGATTTTCACTGAATTATATTGTTGAATTAGATATGGATGGTTATCATAATGTTATATGGTAGAGGAGCATTAGATAATGATTTTTTGAAAATAAGGATAAATTTATCTATAAATATTATTGTATAAGAAATATTAATAGATAAATTTATGTAATTGTCGACAGATTTTCTCCCTCAATAAAATAAAATTTTCTTATAATATTAGTTATTTTATATTTAATTAGTTTTTAGTTAGGAATATTTTAATATAATTATAAAAATATTTTCTTTAAACAAAATCCCTCTCGCATTTTCTCTAATATATTAAAAATTAAATCATCACTTTTTTTAATTATGACCATTTTTAAAAAAATTCACCAAATAGTATATTTAATCCAGGTGAGGCCAATGGTGACTATTTTTCCAATACTGCAATCTGCGAAAAAAAAAGTTTTAAAATATTATAAAAACTGACTCTGAACATATTTTCCTCAAGATTTATATACAATTTTCCAATAATTAACATCATTGAAAAGTCCTTGTATAACATTTTCTTAAAAAAGTATTAAATGAGAATACATACATTTAATGATTAATATTTAAAAAAATATATTTAATATTTGTATCTTAAATAATTAACAAATATTAAAATATGTAAAAAAAAATTATTATAAAAAAAGTAACTTATTCATACGTATTAGGGTGTAAGAAAAATAACAAAATATGCTCTTGCAGCATTGCTTCTTTAGGTCCAGCTGGCAAGCCCATCAAGCCAAACCCAACCATTAGAGGTCAAAAAATTCGAAATGAAACCAAGAAAATTATCATATTTTAGGTGAACACCAATACCACTAATAATGTGTTTTTTGGTTTATCCTAAATCTAGAGAAATAATTATCTATCTTCAATAAATTATTATAAATTAAAAACGAAACAATTTTCTTTTTTCGAAAAAGTTAAACCGAAATACACCAAAACTAACCAATGTAAGTGTACAAGTTTGAAAATCAAAATACATTCACATTCTGCTTATTATTTAAAGTTGAATACGAATAACTTCAGGAAAATCAACTTTGAATCATCAGAAAAAATAAGATACGTGTTTAAGTTAATCTCAAATATAATTTCACATAAAACGTTTAATTTTATTTTAAAGGGTAAGAATTGATTTTGCAAAAGTGTAGAAAAAATAACAGCAAAACTTTTGGACTCTTTCGGCAAGGAAGAAAGAAATAGAAAAACGTCAAGAAAATATATGAAAATAAAGTGAAAACTAAACGTGTTCGATTGAAATAAAATAAAATAAAAATAATGAAAGAGACAAAGACACATATAAAGATGAGTGATAAATAAAATAAAAAACACCATAAATCCCACCATAATTATATTTTTATTTTATTAACCAAACAACCAATATTATTTCCTCTTTTCCTATATTTATTTCTGTTAATGCATCAGTCTGATGCGATCATTATCACAATCACATATCAATACAGACACAGATTTCTAATAAGATACAACACTTGTTGTCTATTTTTTTATTTTCTTAAACATGAGATTAAACTATATTTTTTACAAAACATTGAAAAAAAGCTTCTTCTTTTTTTCATCATAAGGTTTTTATTAATAAACTTAATTTTAAAACATTACTAAATAATCCAAATACAGGATCACTTAAACCATTGACATTGCAAATAATTGTTTTGAATTATTTTCATAATTGTTTCCCTGGAATTGGTACTGGTTTTCTCGTTGATTTCCCAGTTAAACATGTGAAGAAACCCAAAACACAGTCCGATGTAAACGTACTTAATCATTATTTTATCATTATGTAGAGAAGCCACTGATATAATTGCACATTTTAATTTTATTATATAGGGACAATGCGAAAGAAACAAATACATGAGAGAAAAAAGGAACAACTAAGAAAAACATCATATGTGTTCCCAGATTCTTGTAATTGCTGTAAATCATCAAAAAAGATCATAACAATCCCAAGAATCCAAAACTTTACAAATGAAAGGAAAAAAAAGAAAAGAATAAAAAATCCAGCAACCGGTATAAAAAAAAATCATACTTGTTTGTACACGTTCCCTCGACGATCAAGGCAAAATCAAAATGGAGATCTTCCCCCGAAAAACAAGCCCTCCATTTGAAGAAAGCTGAAGAATGAATCAGGGAGAGATCAATTCAAGACTATTTTCCCTGCAATAGCGTAGCTGCAATGAGATTTGTCTCTCCATCTGAAGCTGTCGTCGGAAATTGGTTATGAACATCTCTGCCCTCTTATCAATATCATCATCTGAGGGACAGCTTATTGTCCTCTGAAGCATTTGCGCAGGAGGAGAAACCAAACCCTCCGAATCCGTCTCATCTGAAGAAGAAGTACACATCATCAACCCGGGTCGATCGTTGAAACTAATCTGCCGTTTGCTCAGAGAAACGCCGCGGAGAAGGGTTGCAGCATGCCAGGCGTGGCTGAGCACGGTGGCGCTCAAGAGGAGCTTCACCTTCCTCACGGCCACCTTGAGGCGGCTCAGGAGAGACTTTTTCTGCGAGCTCATGTTATTGTTGGTTACTAGGGCAAATAAATGAGATAATATTTTTGGTTAAGTTGCCATCGTACCTAGGTGGCAGATATTTATTTATCGCAGTTGACAGTGACATGGGGTTTTAAATTTAAAACATTATTGGAAGAGCACGCGGTGGATTGTTGAAGAAGGAAAAATGGGGGCTGAAAATTCCGTGTACAAATAGATTACCGAGTACACTTTGAAAACTTGGCCTAGTTACATGTATCAGTGGTCAAACTTTCACTTTTTCTCAGTCCTATTCAAGCTTTGCTTTGCTTGTTGGTAGACCCAGTTATAAAATGGTTGCTATAATCATCAACACTCAGCAGGCAATTACTTTCCAATGGGGTCAATGATTCATTCATCATTTTAGGGTTTATCCATTGGCTTTGAAAAACAACCGTGCTCATATTTTTCTGTCTTGTGTATGACAGAATTTTAATCCAAACATGATAAGTTTTGTATAATTTTCACTTTTAGATCCACGTGTGACCATCTAGGTCACCATATATTTTAACTAGGATCAGTGTACAAGTTTCTTTACAAGCCCATCTATGCATATGATGAAGAAATTACACCCATGTGCAATTTTTATTTTTATTAGTTTTATGAAAAAGCATCTTATCACACTCTTAATATACTACATCCTTTATTACTATATTATATAACAACTTACCTACATACTACATAATAACCCATTTAATATACAAGCTTGTTTATAAAACTATCATTGCCTGGTTATAACAATGATTTCGCAACAACTAATTTAAAGAATGTTATATTTACTTATAATAAAGTGTCTAACCTACTTAATTCAATGAATCGATATCCAATGTTATAAAAATAAATTAAGGTTAACAAATTTATGATTTAAATTGATTCGATCCTTCAGATAGGTTAGTTAGTAGGTTTATAGTTTTATTCATCTTACAAAATAATAAAAAAATTAAATAAAAATAAATGTAATATTATTTTATTGATATATATATATATATATATATATATAAATTATTTAATAAAAATTTTACATATTTTAAAAATAAATATAAGTGAACGTTTTTTAATATTTTTTATATTATTTAATAATTAAGATAAATTATTATTTAAGATCAATAAATTATTAAAAAAAGTTAAATAATGATAATAGAAAGAGTATTTTTTTAATTTTTATTTTATAATTAAATAAATTATTTATCTTATAATTAATAAATTAAATTATTATATTTGAAATAAAAAAAATTATTAATATAATTTAGATTTTAAAATATATTTTAAATTTTTGTTTATATAGTTTTTAATTAATTATTTTTATATAAATACATTAATAATTTTTAAAATAAATAAAAATTAGTTTGTTAACCAGTTAATTTAATATGAAATCAAACTATACAAAAATTTACGACTAATTTAAAAATATTGATAAAACTAAACTATCAAATATTTTTTATTTAATTAATAGAAATAAGGCAAAGTAAATTACAGCATAAGTCTTTACATCACTATGCATTATGTATAATCTTATTAAAGTTGTATAATAAAGTAATAATATGTATAGTAATAGGTTAATCAGTTCTAAAAAAGTCTACACAACTCCAACCTCAAATTATATAAGGTGTCTCTATATAAAATGATCAATCGCACATAAACCAAAATATATATATATATATATATATATATATATATATATATATATATATATATATATGAAGTAAATTCGATGAAAATAAGTTTAGACAATAAAATTTGCAGAAAAAAATAGACATGAGTAAATTTTAATTGAAAAAAAAAATCTTATGTAATGAAAAACATGCTGCGTTATTTATAGCTTGTTTTATATTTCACACCCTGTTAAGCAGAGAAGCAGGAAAGGCATAAAACAATGTAAACAATTAAAAAAAAATGAATAATATGGTGAATGATTATATTACTTTGAACACGAAATCGAAAATTAACCATCTTACCTGAACATTAACTGTCACTGGGATGCTGGTACTTTTCTGATGCCGCCCTAGCTTGTCTTTTTCCTTCAGTTATTGTGTACCCAATCCTTATTTAATACAATGATGGAACTTTTTTTTTTTTTTATAAATGTACAGTATTTCGTAATTTTACATAACTTAACAATTCACTATATATAAAAATTAATTATAATAATTTCTATAATATGTAACGTGTTATATTAATTATGATTTGTGATTAATTAATAATATAAAATTATTATTAAGCTACTGAAATATTTGATGAGTGTTATAAAAAGATTATAATAAATTTAAGGTAGTTTTAAGTCGTATTAACCTTTTGAGAGCATCATATTAAATAAATTCCATGGAATTTTGAGAAATGATAAAATAAATTCCATTTTCTAAAAATAAATGAACAAATTCACGCAGATTTTATATGTTTGGTTAAGAAATTTTAAATTCATTATTTTTAAATTATATTTTAGTTATTCTTTTCTTAATTAACATCGATATGGATTAATTATTATATAAAAAATTATTTATTAGTATAAAAAAACTTAGAAGAAACATAAAGCGAATAATAGAATATTCTTGAATTATTTTGAGTCAAATTTGTTTAAACTCATCATCTAATCTAATATTGAATTGGGTGTATTTTTTTATTTGATCAGATTCAACTCAATCCACCTTTAATCCGATTAGATTAAATTTGACTAATTGAATCACAATTTTTAAAAAAATATGTTTTAATAATTTTAAAATAAATTTAAGTATATACTTTTTAAAATTATAGATTATTTTTTAAATAAAATAAAATATTTATTATTTAAATAATTTAATAACATAATATTTCAAAAATAATTTAATTAATATTATAAATCAAATAAAAACTATTATAATATTTTGTTGTTGTCATCATTATTATTAAATTATTTAATCATTTTGACTTGATTGATAAAGTTTCATCTGAATTAAATATATAAAATTTGTCATCAAATGTATAAGAGATTTAGTTATATTGGATTTAATCAAATTTAAGACAACCACTAAACAAACCCAACCATAGTATCAAAATAAATTGGATTAAATCATGGCCCCCGAAGATAATGAATTGAATAAACCCTTAGTAATTTAATTTCATTCATAAACTATTTGATTAAAAGGAACAGAAAAAAAAAGTGTCGTCACCACTTGTTAACTAATGATAAAAACAATGGATTTTGAAAATCTTAAAAAGGATTATCAGAATTTGAAATTCAATGAAAGTTACGACCTTGCTTGTTCTCGAGTAAGTTTGATTCATGCTTGTTCACTTTTGGTTTAGGGTTGTTTCCCATCTAGTTTTATTTAGAGTTTCAATGTTAGAATAAACTTCAACAATCAATTTTATATATAAATTAATTTATATACAAATGATATCTTATAATTTTTCTAAAGTTTAATTTTTGATTTGTGTGTTTTATGCAATAAAAAAAATTATTTTCATTTATTGTTGTCTTTCTTTATAATGTATCATTTAGTTATATTGAACTTCGGAGTTCATATTGAATTACACTTATGAAATAAATAAAATAAAATAGTACAATACTATAGCGGGCCAAGTTGGGCCTATGTATCTGTTGGGTTGTTCATTGTCTATCACTGTGTTTTCTGTTTAAATTTCATAAAGCATTATAAGAAAAAAGGTTAGCTGAAATTTAATTAATTGTGATTATAAGATATTTTACGGAAAAATTTACGTATTTCCATTTTATTATAAATAATAGTTAGTCATAAGTTATATTTTACAAAATCTTCAATTTTTTTAATTCTTTAATTTTTAATTACTTATAAATTTAGTCATTGAATTTATTTTTATTCGATTTGATCCTATAATCGTTATTTTATGTTGATTTGAATTATATAATCAGATTGGAGGAAATACATAATATTCGTGATTTTTGTTACAACATTGAGAAAAATAGTAATAGTAGGAACTTCTTACAAAATGTAACATGACAGTGATTTGATATATTTTATAAAACTTAAAATTAAACACAGTTACATATGATTAAAGTTAGAATATCAAAATTAACGTAAAATTAAATTTAAGAACCAAAATGTGAATATAAAAAATAATGATCTAAAATTACAAAAAAGAAAAGAAAATTAAGTACCAAAACTACAGATTTTATTAAATATGCTCATAAAAAAATAAATTTTATTTATTCTAATATAAACTTAGTTATTGTAGCCCTTCCAAGAAAACTTAGTTATTGTAGTCGGTTCAACAATTCCATTTTGCTGGATGTTTTTATGCATGTGATTTGATGAATGATGCTTTTGGATAAAAAATATTGATACATAAGAAATTCAGCGCCATTATCTGTGCGAATGTGTTTAATATGAGTCTCAAATTGATTTTCTATATAAGTGATAAAATTGATGATATGTGTTTGTGTTTCACTTTTGGAAAATATTAAATAGACCCGTGTAAAATGTGTGTGTGTGATCATCCATAATTGTTAAAAAATATTTGTGTCCATGCATAGATAATTTTGAACAAGGTCCCCAAATATCCCTATACAACATTTCAAAAGGTTTAACTGCATGAGAATTGCTTAACCGAAAAGATAATTTCTTTTGTTTTCAGCTGTGACATGCGTTAAAAACAAAAGTTCTATCACTGGACAAACAAGGATAACATTGTTTTATAGACTATAGACGATCGTGCGAAAGATAACCCAAACAAAAATGTCAAAGATCAATAGGTAAATGTTTACATTGAGGATGAACAATGCTAGATAAAACAAAGGAGAAATAGTAGATTTGAGAACAAATTTGTAGAGTCCACCATTTACATCAATCTGCTTCTTGGTAATCGCATAATGTACGATACAAGAATTAGATGAAAAAGTAAAAATACAATTAAGAGAATTCACAAGTTTAGAAATATAAATGAGATTAAAAGTAAAATTAGGAATATAGAGAACGTCAACTACATAACAGGAATCGAATAAATAAACAATTCCAGAATGAGTAGTTGTAACA